GGCTCTGGTTCCTCCTCGGAATGCACGTAGGTGGGAGTGAGGAGCTCCTCAAAGTATTCCTTCCACCGTCCGACTATAGCCCCAGTTGACATCAGCAGCTACCTATCCCCACTGTAAACAGTGTGAGCGAGTTGCTTTCTTCCTCTCCTGAGGCGCCGGACAGTTTGCCAGAACCTCTTTGGAGCCGATCGATAGTCTTTCTCCATGGCCTCAACAAACTCCTCCCATGCCCGAGATTTTGCCTCGGCAACTGCCACTGCTGCACCCCGCTTGGCTATCCGGTACCTGTCTGCTGCCTCCGGAGACCCACAGACAAGCCACGCCCTGTGGGCCTCCTTCTTCAGCCTGATGGCTCCCCGAACCTCTGGTGTCCACCAGCAGGTACGGGGGTTGCCACCACGACTGGCACCAGCCACTTTGCAACCACAGCCAGCAACAGCCGCCTCAACAATCGCAGAGTGGAACATGGCCCACTCGGAGTCAATGTCCCCCACTGCTCTCGGGACGCGGTCAAAGCTCTGCTGGAGGTGGGAGTTGAAGACCGTCTTGGCAGGTTCTTCTGCCACGCATTCCCAGCAGACCCTCACTATACGTTTGGGTCTGCCAGGTCTACGCGGCATCTTCCCCTGCCATCTGATCCAACTCACCACGAGGTGGTGATCAGTTGACAGCTCCGCTCCTCTCTTCACCCGGGTGTCCAAAACATACGGCCGCAGGTCAAATGATACCACTACAAAGTCTATCATCGACCTGCGACCTAGGGTGCCCTGGTACAAAGTGTACCCATGGGCATCCTTATGTTCGAACATGGTGTTCATTATGGCCAAACAGCGGCTTGCACAGAAGTCCAATAATGAAACAGCACTTGAGTTCAGATCAGGAGGGAAGTTTCTCCCAATCACACCCCTCCAGGTCAAGCTGTCATTGCCCACGTGAGCATTGAAGTCCCCCAGCAGGACAATGGAGTCCCCTGATGGAGCACTATCTAGCACTCGTCCCAGGGACTCCAAAAAGGGTGGGTACTCTGAACTGATATTTGGCCCATAAGCACAAACAACAGTCAGGACCCGTTCCCCGACCCGAAGGCGCAGGGAAGCTACCCTCTCGTCCCCCGGGGTAAACCCCAACACACAGTCAGAGAGTCTTGGGGCTAACAAAAACCCAACCCCAGCCCTCTGCCTCTCACCCGGAGCAACTCCAGCAAAGGAGAGTGTCCAACCCCTCTCAAGGTCATGGGTTCCAGTGCCAATGCTATGTATCAAGGTGAGTCCGACTATATCTAGCTGATACCGCTCAACCTCTGCCACAAGCTCCTGCTCCTTCCCCGCCGGTGAGGTGACGTTCCATGTCCCAAAAACCAGTTTTCTTGTCCGGGGATCGGACCGCCAAGGTCTGCCACCCGATCCATACTGCACCGGACCCTTCATGTTCCTCCTGCGAGTGGTGGGTCCACAGTTGGATGAGCCCATGTATCCGGTTTGGGCTGGGCCCAGCCAGGCCCCGTGGGCGAAAGCCGGCACACCAGGTGCTCGCTCACGGGCCTCAACCCCAGGCCTGGCTCCAGGGTGGGACCCCGGTAACCCTCCGGGCCGGGTACACTGACTCTTTGATTGTCTATCCATGAAAGATCCTCTGAACTGTTCTTTGTCTCACCCTTCACCAAAGACCAATTTGTCATGGGAGACCCTACCAGGAGCATAAAGTGCCCCAGACAACATAGCTCCTAGGATCATTAGGGCATTCAAACTCCTCCACCGTGATAAGGTGACGGTTCAATAATTGAATTAATTATTAGAAGAAGAAGAAGAAAATATCAATTCTATAGTGCCTCTCAAGATAAAAATCACGAGGCGCTTCACAAAAACAAAAACAAAAAATATAAAAATTGTAAAAATAGAAAAAAAAAGCATTTTGAAAATCTTTAAAAATATATTTAAAATGAGCAAGAATAAGCAATTGCGATTTAAAAGAAAAAATGTTAAGAAAGAGAGAGAGAGTGAATAGGAAAGAGGGAGATCAGTGGATCCTGAGGAAGGTGGGATAGGTGGGGAGAGCCAAATAAAGAGAGTGGTGAAGAAGGTCATCCAAAAGCCAGCTTAAACAAGTGAGTCTTCAGCTGCTTTTTGAAGGAGACCACTGAGTCCACTGATCTCAGGCTCAGGGGGAGAGAGTTCCAGAGTCTGGGGGCCACAGCAGCAAATTATCTGTCACCTTTGGTCTTTAGCCTGGTGCGCTGCACAACCAGTAGACTTTGATCACTGGACCTCAGGGACCTGCTGGGGGTGTAGGGACTAAGAAGATCACCAATGTAAGATGGTGCATGTCCATGTAAGGCCCTATAGACCAGAACCAGGATCTTGAAATGAACCCTGAAGTTGACTGGCAGCCAGTGAAGCTGGAGGAGAAGCGGGGTGATGTGGGTGTATTTGGAGGACTTGGTCAGAAGCCGAGCACAGGCATTCTGAACCACCTGTAGACGGTTCAGGGAGGTTCTGCTCAGACACGTGAAAAGAGAGTTACAGTAGTCTAAGCATGAGGAGATGAAGGTGTGGAGAACTGTCTCAAGTTCAGAGCGAGACAGAATGGGACTCAGCTTAGCAATGTTCCTGAGATGGAAGAAGGAAGAGCGAACAAGAGAACTGACATGAGAATCCAGGGTGAGAGCTGGGTCAAAGGTCACGCCAAGATTCCTGATGGAAGGTTTGGTGTGAGAAGCAAGCTGACCAAGAGAGTCTCTGACTTTGGGAACCAGCTTGTCTGGAGCCCAGATGAGGATCTCAGTCTTTTCTTCATTCAGCTGAAGAAAGCTCCCAGCCATCCATGTTTTGATAGAGTCTAAGCAGGTGTGTAACAGCTGCAGCTTAGACATCTCATGGGGCTTAAAGGAGATGTACAGTTGGATGCCATCTGCATAAAGATGACAGGAGATTCCTTTGAAGGAGCTCAGGATGTGCTGAGGAGGAAGCAGATAGAGGAGGAAGAGTAGAGGCCCCAGCACAGAACCTTGTGGGACACCATGGGTAAGAGAGTTGGTGGAGGACCTAAACTTGGAGACGGCCATAGAAAAGGTGCGCTCAGAGAGATAAGAGGAGAACCACTCCAGAGCAGATCCTGATAGGCCTACCCAGTCTCTTAGCCTCTCCAGTAGCAGGTGATGGTCAACAGTGTCAAAGGCTGCAGTCAGGTCCGGCAGGACCAGAACAGAACAGTCCCCTGCATCACTGTGAGTCAGAAGGTCATTAGAGACCCTAAGAAGAGCTGTTTCAGTAGAATGAGCTCTACGAAAACCTGACTGAAAGCTATCATAGATGTTATGTTCATCAAGAGCAGCTGTGAGTTGTTTAGCCACAACCAAAGGACAAGAAGCTAGAAGATTGCGCCGATGTTTACCAGATAAACCACGCTTTAAGAGAAGTCTTATTCTCACCTGGATTCCTGCTCGTTTACCTCTTTTCCTCCGACGTTTTCCCGGGACCGGACAAACATCGCTAGAGGTGCGCAGCTCTGGATCGTTGATTGCTTCCGGGCCAGTGCGCCGCTCAGGTAAACAAACAGGATGGTAAATCCTTGGTGCATCTTGGGCGATCGTGAAGGAACGGAAGGACAAAAGAGTTTGGCGATCATAGGAGATGGTAGCAGGGACACTACTGAAGAGGATCGCAGACAGGAGCAAGGTGGAAAAGAGGAGGTTAGTGGAGAAAAGTTTGAAAAGGTGGCCGGTGACCGCGGCGAAGCCAGGCACAGGCGCCACCTTGCTGACCTGAAAGACTCATTGACTCATATTTAATAATTTACACAATTGTGCTACAAATTTAAATCTGGTAGCTAATATTTCATTAAATTTGTAGAAATTTTTCTAAGGTAGCTTTTTGGAACACCACTGAGTCCTAAATACATTTCCCCACAAGAAACAATCAAGCTGACCTGATTGCATTAGCAATTGCTTGTAGCCACAAAAATGAGTAAATGTATGATGAAGAAAATTAATTCTGTTTCATGTTAAGCTCAGTGGCTTCGTAATAGCTGAGGAAGACCCTAAGAATATACTTGAGTTGTTTCACCTCTTGACCCAGCTTTCAGTTCAGTTTCACACATGCTGCGCAATTCATTTGCACTTTGTGTCCCTGACTTTTGCTGTGAGATGAAACCGCATTTGATTCAGAGCCTGGATGAGAAATCCACATTTTAATATATTTTTCCTGTCTGACTCAAGAGTACATCCATCATGCAGGATGTGTTTTTGCAGAGCAGTTTCACCTCCATCCATCTCTTCCCCTCCCATGATGCGGAGGGTGGAGAGGAGCCATGTGGGCTCGTTTGCAGTCATCAGTACAGAGTGATTTGGGTGCAGGCTCACTGCTTCTCTGACTTCTATTGGTGAGTGAAATTTATTTATTTATTTTTTGCAGCACAACATCAGTGGTGCCAACAGTTCCATCAGCTCCACTAGATACACTCAGATACATTTGGGCAGCTCACCCTGCAACCATGGTAACAGAAGAATTTTGCTAGTTGGCAGCAGCCAATAGTGTGGCACTTTCCACTCACCTCCGTCCAATAACAGAACAGCCTGCAGCCCAGCCCACCTAGAAGTGACACTGTTGGGGCAGTGCAAGAACGATTTAGAGATTGGCTAATGAACAAGTAGGAGAGTACTAGAGTGTGTGTGTGTGTGTGCATGTGTGTTTTTATGTGTGACTCAGAGAGAGAGAGAGAGAGAGAGAGAGAGAGAGAGAGAGAGAGAGAGAGAGAGAGAGAGAGAGAGAGACTAGGTGATGATGCAAATCATCTAATGAGAGGATTCCCTCTCATTTAGACACAACATGGAGTATCAGTGTAAAGTAGAACTCATTCACTCATTTTGTTGTGCCTTTCCATCAAACACACACACACGCACACATGCAAGCACACGCTCATACAACGAACACACACACACACATGCACTAACAAAAGTATTCACAGACAGTTTTCAGGGAATGAGAAAAAAGGCTCATGCAACCTTAAGCTGTCAATAAAGTCATTTATTATTTCACACAATGGATAACATGAACAACTTGAACTGTAGTTCTTCTCAATAAGTGCTCAACGCTGCCGGCCAACAGAAGGGTAGCAAAGAATGAGCGTTTCATTTTAAAGAAAAGAAAAAGAACCTACAAGAACATGACCAAAAGCATGCCAGCAGACATGAATATACATATATTACATGTATATATGTGCTTAAGACATATATCTGTATGCTGGCAAATGCAAATACAAAATATATGTGTATGTTTACACACATATACTGCGGAGGATATATGCATATGCATGTGCATCTAGTATTTACTCTATATGTCAAATATTTGCAGTTTTAATATTCATACAATGTACAAAAATGCTTCATGAATTAAAAAATCCATTACAAAAAGAAACATATCAAACAATGTACAAGTCTTGCTTCAAATTCAATTGAAATTCAACTTGTCTAAAATATTTATGCATACAATCAATTTTAGCATGCAAATAAAAGAAATCCACTCTAGAAAAAGTTCAAATACACTATGTATACAAATTAAAATATGCCCACAATGTTAGGAGAGCTCACTTTGTGCTCTACAGAAGTATATTTACTGGTTTTTCTCAGTGCCTCTGCACTTTCAGGTTTTTAAAAATGTTATAGCTTCGAATGGGAAACGTATGCTGTGAGGACGACGACATGTACAGTAACGTTTATGAGTTTCTGCTTCACGTGACCCTGGCTCTGCGTGTAGGACTCGGCACTGCATGCTACATAGAGAATTCAAGGGGGATGTTACATGTTGGTGCTAGTGTCTATCTTCCTATAATTGAAAGTTGTACAGTAAAGACCCAAATAACATTGAAGTACGATCAAACACTGTTGCGACACCTTTGGTGCTGAAAACAAAGCGCTAAAAGATGCTTGCATCAGGGTTGAGTTGTACCCTCTGGTCCAGACCAGCTGCTAACATCAGTGACCATGAACCCCATTCCCAAACACATCCTCTCTGCAGTCTCTGCGTAGAGTGAAAGCTCTGGATTAGGACAATACTTGTCAGAGTTAGAAGGCACCGGAGCGTTGGCTGGTAGGAATCACAGACAGGACAGACATTACCTGGGGCCTTTAACTCCGCCATCAGAGACCTCTGCCTGACCACAGGAGTAAAAAGGCCCACATGCACAGATAAAATCTTCACCACAAACAGACTGCCGATCCACTCAAAGTCATCCAGCAAAGCAAGGTTAAGCACGCTAACATTAGGTTGGGAGTATTTTTGGCTGTTTCCTCTGAGAACTCCCCTAGCACACAATCCTTTTCACGCTACGACGCCGCACCAACTGGCTGCAGGCAAAAACGTCAGCCGGGGTGCCTATTTTTGGTCGAGCGCACCACAATCTGGCTCAAGGAACTTTTTGAAAACATGCTAAGGCTGATTTCTTTGTTAACCGTTTTCTGTAAATTAATGGGCTGAAACAATGACTCTGGAGTTTATTAAATAATAATGAGATGATTTCAGTCATTTTTGTTCATTCACTTCAGCTTTGAGCATTTAGGGGGGACAGATGGTGTGTGTGTGTGTGTGTGTGTGTGTGTGTGTGTGTGTGTGTGTGTGTGTGTGTGTGTGTGTGTGTGTGTGTGTGTGTGTGTGTGTGTGTGTGTGTGTGTGTGTGTGTGTGTGGTTTTTAGGAGACAGTCTCTGTGTCGTTGGGTCCAACTGAGATCCATGCAGGATGTACATAATAACACTATTTACAACAAGCACATCAATACTGTAGCTTTACATCTGTTTAAGGCTGTACTGCATAGTGAGGCAGTAACTATAGTTTTTTGAAATGATAGTCACTTTCTGCACATCATATTACTGGTATTATTCACAAATCTCATGACGAGAACTCGCTTTTATTTAGTAAATAAGACCACTTATTCCTTTGTCGAAGGGTGGACCCAGATTTTTCTTTTTAAGGTCATTGCCAGGTATGGCTTGATGCATAGCAAACAACAACAAATGTGGTTTTCATGACAACTGCCCCTGTTCCTTCTTTAGCAGATGTTTAACCAGTTATCTGTTGTAAATAACTGATTAGGTCAGAATGTGTGATCTTGAATTTTACATCTAAGACATTAGAATCATTATTTCCTAATAGAATCCCAAACAGTGGGTCTTTGTGTTTCCACTGTCACAGCACAGCGGTATCTAGGTCAGGACTTGTATTTAATACAGTGAGTCCAGCCCCTCTAGCTCTGTCATGAAGATATGGGTCAGAAAACGTAGAGGAAGCTGGGAGCCGGATGGACTCGACGGAAGCCACGAAGGGACACAGGCAGAGTCAGGGTTCTGGTGACTAAGATAGACGCGTCATGTGAACAATCACAAAATTATCGGGTCACTCTCCGGGACACTCGTTGCCTTTTTCTGTTTCTCAAGTCGAATGCAATTTAGTGACAAAAAGAAACATAAGGCACAAGTTGAACGGCTGCAACTGAGAATCCCACCCCGTCTGAAGAAAATAAACTCCTGAATAAAAAAAAAGTTGCCAAACGAATCCATTGCTTTTACGCTGAAACACGTGTCTGAGAAAATTCCAACCAATACCCAAAGTCACCAATACTGCAATGAGAGTTTAACATCAATGACAAAAATATCCTAAATGCCTACATTCTACAGTGCACATAGGAATGCTTTACATAGTTGAGAACACAGTAGAGTTTGTCCAACTCTGATCCAAGGTACTTCTACATCCTCACATCGAATACTGAGACTTTGGTTTTCTAAATCTAAATACTGGATTTTTTTCCCCCAAAAATATTTCCAAGGATAAGAATTTTAAAACCACGTTAAGTAGAAAGACAGGAATTAGCTTTTCAAAATTTGAGCCCTCTTCTGCTGAACGGTCCAATCACGATTCAGACTCAGGCTTGGGTTTGACGCTTATGGCTGCGTGGCCTGCATATATGAATTGATTAAAACGAAGCAAAAAAAAATAATAAAAAATGTAAGGCTAGAACAAGCATTAAGTGCTGCATTTGATTGATGCAAATGAATGTATTTTTATAGTGCATTTACCAAACTCTTATAGTTTACCAAAACACACCCAACATCCCTCTTTTATCCAACCTCTCCGCCTCAGCCCCTTTCATATAAACACAATAACGAGTGTATGAACAAATATATGTGGTTTTTTTCTGTCTGAAAACAAACTTGTCTCGAGTCACACCCCTGTCTGTTTTTGGTTATAAAACAATACACACTTTCATTTGTCTATTGTACAACAATTCTATTTCATATACTGTATGCCGGTACACATCTATAAGCTGGTTTCCCATTCTACAAGGCATTCGTTTCTATGTACAGTGGGACAGTCTCCTCGTCCGCCATATTGCCTTCATTTGCTGCCCAGGAGAGGCCTGAGCGGGATTGGGAGAAGCATGTGACTCACTGGGAAAATCAAGGAAGCCCGAGGACTGGAGATGCAAACCATCAGTGGGGCAAATAAGCAGGAGCAACAGACACCAGGGAGTACTTAAAAAAACCAGGGAGCATGTCAAGCAGAGTAGAGGAGCTGCCAGGAAGAATGAGTTACTCCTAAGAGAAGGTAAGAAAAATTGGAAGGTAAAACACAGACAGGGTAAGGTGGCTTAATTACTGATGTGTTATCCCACACGTCCTTGACAAGTTTCCTCAAAAAGGCAAAAATAAGCAGAGCTGCACAGTTTTATATAACCATTACCCCTCCCCTTTGCTGGTAAATATATGGCTAATGCCACATTCAGATACTGTATCATAAAGTACCATACACATCACGGTATCAGATACGTAAAGAATCACATAAAATCCTACACTATCATAAGTACCACACACTTTTATAGCATCAGATTCAGTATCAAATAGTACCATATAGTGCCATTGTAAACCAAGGTCCAAATAATGCTTGAAAGGTCCATGTCTGGTTGGGTTCTGGTCGGTGGAAGTGTTCCTCCGGCACATCCATCTTGCTCCTCACGACAAACAAGGCAGGAGGTCAAAGTGCATCAAGGAGTCCCAAAAGTAGGGGGCACAGCATTGATGGGCTTTAGAGCACATTGATTCTGTTAACTGCTCTCCGTTCAGTTCAGGGGTTTTCCTTCTTATGCCTGACTAGAGGGAAGCCAGAGTTCGTCCCTGCTGTGACCCCTGCCTCGTCGTTTGCCCTCTTTAGACCCAGGAGGTATGGTCCTTGCTTGATGCACCACGTTCTCGATAGCTGCTGAGACGGAATCGTGACTGGTGTGCTCCTGAGTCTCGAGGGTTAAGCTGGGCCTGAGGCTCTGCCTACCGGACACGTTGTCACACCTTTCCAGGACGGGCATTCCCAAAGTCCTCGCGTCACTTCTCCTGCTGGCCACTATGTCCAAACCTCGACCGTCGGCCCAGCTTTCCTCCCTGATGCTGGCCGGCTCAGATTCTTCGATGGGCTGTTTTCGGGGCCGTCCGGGCCGTCTCTTGATGACATTATTTCCTGTTTTAGCTTGTCGCTGCAGACGCTTGGCACGCAGGATCTTCTGCACATGATCAAAGTTCAAAGAATGCATCCTCCTGACGTCCTTTTGGATCTGTTCCACCTCACACCGTTTATACCGCCGCTTACTGGGAACACCTGGGAGGGGGAGAAGAAGAAGATGAGTGAGATGGAGCATCACAAGGTAAATAGATAGCAAAACAGAGCCTATAAAGAAACAGGAGTCCTCGTTCGAGCAAAAAGTAGAAAAGAAATCATATCATTTAGCTCATGGAGAGAATGTCTTATTTGCCTCAAGAGCTTCCTGCTAATTTTGAGATATTCATGTAAGCTTTTCAAAGCCCAGCTGAGCCAGGAGAGCAGATCCTATCCTGTAATTGTCTATTAGTGAGCAGAGAGAAGAGGGGAGAGGAGGAGATCCAATTCTGTTTGCAGGAAACCCAAAGAAATGTCTCCTTCAACCATTTAATATGTCACCACACAATAAAAGCCCCGTACATCTGGAGCCCAGGCTGATGTATCTACGGACTTGCATAGACATAAATACAAATACACACATGTGCATACACGTTCAGGAGCGACACGCAGAAATAATGAATTCAGCAGTTCAGAATGGCTGAGCAGAAGAAACTTGAGCCGTATTGTTTCCTTCACATTGATGAACTGGGCAGTTTGCCCTTTGCATGCTGCTCTATCCTTTCTCTTCCTCTCCCATTAGTCTCAGTCTCTCTTCCTCTCCATTCTTCACGGGCAGCAAAATGCTGCTCTCTCTCATTTTCAATTAAGCTGGTAACTGCATCGTTTCATTTCCGCCTTCATTTCAGAAACTGTTTCCTGATCTTGGCGTGTCTCAGTCCTTCGTTTTGTTTCCCATCTTTGTGCCATTCCTCAAACCCCACCACCATCCACCTCCCCCTCCACCCTCTCCTCCCTGTCTGGGCACTGTTCCCAGGGCTCAGAGTGAGCAACAGCCAAAATGGAGAAAAAGCACAATCAACCACTGGTCCTCAAATGGTACACATGTAGTATGCTTGGTCTCTGTCTTACGAGCTTTCCTTTCTGCTCATGGATTTCTAAACCATGTTGTTTCTTCTGCAGCTCCAGAATGCTGTCAATCCTCGATGATCACATTAGCTTTCTAAATTATGCTTCAAAAAGGCAACATTATGAGCATAAAGTGATGCATTGAAAATGAGCCTACTGATGTGAAAAGAATGGTTTTGATTAACTGTGTTTAAATTCAAATGTTCTTTACTGGAGGGGTTTTGTTGCTCTCCTTTTGTCTTCATAACACCCTGAAAATAAGTTTCTTAATTGGGTTCAAAATAGGGAATAATCCTATATGTAATTTTCACTTTTTATTATTTAAAATATTTCTCTTTTTCTAAAATGTCCATGCATTTGCAGCCAAATCCATGAAACTGGGTGATTTGTTTATTTTACAGAACTCCAAATGTCATTCTTATTCCTATTTGGTGCTGCAAACAAGAATTGTTGTATGAGCAAAGACCTCAGCAGCGCCGAGCTGAATGCCACGCTGCCCTGCAGATGAAGATCTCCCTCATGAATGGATTTATCAGCCGTCAATGAACTCATTAGTGATAGAAACTCATAAAGAAGTAAAATTCATCAAGGGTTATAGCTCAAACCATAATCACCCACTGTTTCTGTCATTTATTTCTAAATGTCCCAGTGATGGACTGGTGACCTGTCCAGGATGTCCCTGGCCTCTCGTCCAAATTCTGCTGAGTGGGAATAAAATATAACTGAAGAGATGTTTAAGTGAGGATATATTCTATTCCTCAGTTTAGAAGTAATGCAAGAAGGAGATAGACATTTTAAATTATGTAGGCGTTGAAGTGAGTCTGCTTTCATCTGTTGTTTACTGTAAAACTAAGGAGACATCATTCAGTTGTTGTTCAAGAATTCAGAACAGGCAGGGAAATTAGTTACTGCAGAAAGCACTAAGTGACAGTAGTTTATGAGCTGCACAGAAGTGAACACACACACACACACACACACACACACACACTCACACAACAAAGTAGCAGAATTTATGAGCGCCATACACGGAACATAAAACCAATGACCTTCCGCATTGAGAGGGGCCGTACGGCGCTGAGGACCGGTTTCTCTCAGGAATAGGAAGTTTTATTTGTACGGTGAAACCACCTCTACGGCCCGCTGAGACCAGGTTTCTGACTGAGTAAAGTCGTCTTTTAAGCATTTATGTTAATTGGAGTTTTGCCTAGTTGACTCCACATTCATGTCACATGACTTGTTCTGCATGATGAACCTATGCTTCTGCTCCCCACGTCCCACGTGCTCAGTCCTGTTGTGTTCTTGTTTGTTGTCCAATCTTATTTGCTTTTGCACATTTTTCACATCTAATGTGTTGGGAGTACTTTTATACTCAGCCAATTTGAAGGTCAAAGTACATATTTGACCACCCAAAAAGTTGTCGTTCATTTGGTGAATGAAAATATGCTTTTGTGCAAAAATTAATAAAAGAAAAGCGATGTGAGACGTGACATGGGAAAAACCAAACATGGATGCATGAAATGAATAACACTGTTGTATACAAGCTGCATGATCAAAAAAATCTTAAATTTTGCAGCTGGGTCAGGTTGTGAGATGAAAAAGTGCATGGCTGTGTGTGCGTGGCAGTGCTCATATGCACACGTGCCTGCGTTTTAATTGGACTAAAGCTGTGAACTGAAGCAGTAAGTCATGCTAGAAGAGGGGCAGTGGGGGGGGGGGGGGGTGCAGGGAGGAGAGAGGGTAATCTTGGACTGAGGTGGTGGGGGAGATGGGGGAAAATAGAGGGAGGAATGGAGGGGGAGAGTCTGGGATTGAAGTAAATGAGAACAGCAAGGGCAACAGCTGCTGGAGCCACAAAAGGAAAAGGTAAAGATGTGCAGGGTAGGAGAGGTGCTTTAACAATAATATGGATAAGGTGGGGTGAGGGGCTGTGTATATGAGTCATCCGTCCTGGATCCCCTGGGGTGTGGGGGGAGTATTCTAACCGGGCCCCTGGCTTCTCCTCCCCACCACTGGACTAGGCCCCAGTCATTAAACCCGCTGGCTGGCAGCCAGCTCTTTTAACACAGGCAAGAGCCTTTTACGGCGTGTCTGTAGAAAATAAATCACAGTGTGTGAATAATATATCTCTGGCGAAGGCATTGGCAGGAGAGAAGGGAGAGAGGTGGAGGGAGGGTGGAGGACGGCAAGATTGGTGAATTATAGTTGTCTCCATCCATGCATTACGTTCTCTTTATCCCCGGCCAGATGTGCTCAAAGACAGCAGAATACAGAATGTAACAAACTGCACATTACTCTGGCGGTGAGAATGTGGACTTAACTGTCTGTTTGTATGCTCTAAGACCTGATAATGCTGTGCAAAGCATGTTTATAAATAGGAATCACCTTTACAATTCGTATAAGTCTTCATTCGAAACAGGAAATCCCTTTAAACTTGGACTAAATGCTAAACAACCAGTGGAGAACAGTTAGTAATCCCACATAACCTTGGCTAGTTAAGATCACAACAGTTTTTTACAATGTGTGTGTATCCTTTTCAACACTGGTTTGTTTCTGTGCCTTTAAGATATAAGCAATATCATTAATATATAATGAATATCATTAATCCTCATTAATGAACTGGATGCAAACGTAGGAAGCCTCAGCCGTGTTTACTCTGTAATCTCCTTGACCAAATTTAAAATCTCTGCATTTTTGAATTTTTAAAGGAGGGATTTTGCATTAGATTTTTTTTTTATTGCTTTGGATTAAAAGTGTTCTAATCCCACCTGATTGGGTTTCTTGCAAGAAGGTGTCAAGCTATAGATTTACTGGTTTCACAAAATCCAAAGAAAATAAGCAACACTTCTAATCTTGTAGACCCAGAAGAGTCAGGAAACACAAGATTAAACAGTTTTAGAATCACAGCAGAAGTGTTGTGTTTGCTGTAAATACACAAAATCAATCTTACCAGCGAGGGAGGGACTGTTCATCTGCTCTGTGTCCTGGATGGCCGTTTGGAACGACATTAAACCCTGATCGCCAAAGACAGCGAGCCTTGTCCTTCTGCTCCTCTCAACACACTCGTCCTCGCGTAACCCCGAAAAAAGGTCAGAAGCTGACTCTGACCTCTGTGACTGGCCGCTGTAGCTGCCCATGAAGCTCTTTACTGTCTGTGCAGCCTGACGAGAGCGAAACTGACTGTCTGCAAGAGAGTGTGTGGACAGCTGGTCTGACTCAAAAATCCCTAGGCTGGATCCCAGGTTGGAGCTTCTGGCGTTGCTCCTTTGCTTCTCCATATGCTTTGACGAACCCTGACTGCTCAAGTCCCTCCTTTGGCTCAGCATGCTGAGGCATGCGTTGGTCTTAGCTCCACTGAAAAGTCCCCCCAAGTCCTGACGGTCTTGTGGTGACAGAAGGGTTTCGTCCTTGTGCTTATGTTTGTGCTTGTGCTTTCTCTTATGAAGACGGACCCCTGCAAGACCACCTGCACTGCCATTACTGAGGGATCCTAGACCATCTCCTCTTACAGCGGGGCCCTGGAGTGGACCACTAGTGGTACGAATCTTCGCCCCTGCTTGCAGCTTTGAGTGTGCAGTAGAGTGGAAAGCCTTGGGAGGAGGGACAGCAGGCCTCATGAAAGGAGATGGAGGCGCAGGTCCAAGGGAGTGGTGCGGCAGGTAAAATGGGGGGGTGGGAGGAAAGTAGCCCAAATTCAGAGGAGGTGCATAAGGCATTGCATACGGTGCTGCATAGTAATTTCCTCCTCCCAGCGGGTAACCGTATCCTGGAACAAAAGGCAGTTTTGATGTGATTGGCTCGCTGACTTTAGCTGGACGGCCGCGCCTCCTTTTAGCTTTCAGATCGACACTCCTGTGGAGGTATGAGCTGGGGTCACAGGGGTAAGAGTCGTAGCTAATTGGGTAGTAATGATGAAAGTTGAGCCGGAAAATGGAAGGATAAGGATGTTGGGGGTAGCAGGTGTATTGCCTGTGCGACACTCGCAGCTGTTGGAGTTTTATCACAACCTAGAAGGAAGTTAGGAGGAAAAAAAGGATTAGAATACATAATTAAAGCATGTGACAGCATCAAGTGTAAGGTTAGACATTGATTGTGATCATGGATCTAACCTCTTCCAGCTCAGAGAGAAAGTGAAGATGATCCCTGCTTTGAAAGCACTTCCTCTTTCTACGATGATGCTTTTGCTTCTTTTCCTGCTGTGACAAATAGTTACCAACAGCGGCGGCTTGCCGTTCACAGCGTGCTCTGCTGCTCCTGTTAGATGCATCCAGAGCTGCAGCCTCCGCAGATTCAAACCCACACAGGTCAAACGAGTACCTGCATGAACACAGCATAAAATAACATGAAAACTACAATATTTATGCCAACCTAGTAGGTGAAAAGATTAGAGGGGAAAGGGTATAACAGCAGTATACTGCACCTGCGACGGGAGGCAGGACCCTTCTCGGTTTGATCTGAGGTGCTGTTGTTGTCTGTCCCAATCCCACTGTCACTAGGAATTGTTTCCTCACTGTGGGACTCGCTGATGGGGGACAGGGTCACCTCTTTTACTGATGCCCCCTCTGATAGGTGGGAGGGTGAATTGGCCAGAAGGCGAGGAGGAGAAAGTTTCCAACCCCCTGAGAGAAAGCCCCTGCATATTGGTTTAGAGGGCAGGGCTGAGACGGGCTGCAAATTGGGCATGGTGGCATCTGTGTTGCTGGCTCTTAGGGATGGAGCACAAGAACTGGGAGATGAGTTGGTGGAAGGCACTGCAGGGCTATCGTAAAGACAGAATGTGGAGACAGACAATGGCGGCTTGTCCCTTGTGGTTTTGAGGAGGATGGAGCCTTGAGTTTCGGCTCTGGGTTTCCGCCCTCTCTTCTTTCCAATATAAATTGTACCTCTCTTGCTGACGTTGATCTGTTTTCCCAATCGAGCCTCAATGGTGGTTGCCATAGCACTCATGGCTGAGGTGACGGGAGCTGAGGGTGACTTCAGAGCCAGAGAGCCATTCTGACTAGATCCAGAGAGAATCTCGTTTAAGATGCTTTGCATTTTCCCGAGCTTTGTCTTATTTATTGACCTAGGATGGCCTCTGCCTCGCGTTAGCTTCAGGCTGTTAGAACAGTCGCTGGATGTTGGGGAGGCCATTTGAACTAACGTGTTTAGACCATGTGTCTTTCTCCTGCGGCTTAGCCCTGTAGAGGTGTCCTGTGACAGTGGGCTTGGGGGTGAGGTGGAGGTGCCCTCGTGAATGGTCTCCACGGTTAGGAGTGGCTGTTTCTTTGGACGCCCTCGTTTCCTCTTGATGGGAGCGTGGACCGTTAGACTGTCACTATTGGTGTAGAGTGGGCTAGACGGGGTAATTGGGAAAGCAGAAGGTGGCTCTGATAAGGCCAGAGGACTTCCCAGTTTGTCTCTTTGAGGTGATGTCAGACTGGTATGACTTTTAACTTTCAGGTAGGACCATCTGTCGTTGACCTTTGCTGGTTTAAGTTTGGCTTCAGAGACAATATTGTTTTTAGGGCTGGGACTCAGGTCAACCCTGCCTCTAGGACTTGGACTTGGACTAATGTTGGTCCTGGGTTTAGGACTGGGGATGGGACTGATGCTACCTCTATAGCTGGGGCTAGGGAGTCTGAGATTGGAGCTAAGATTAAGCTTGTTGATATGATTGTATGCAGGCTCTCTGAGTTTAAGGGTATCTGTACCACTCTTGGGACGACCCACTGGATTCTTTTTCACTCCTTTTAAACTCTGATCTGACTCCTGGTCAGGCCCACTTGTAACAGCTTCTCCTCTTTCTGCCTTTTCGGCCCTCTCTGCTTTATCCCTCTTATCACCTTTATCTCCTCTCTCTGCCTTTTCGATCCTTTCAGTGCTGCTGTCCGCCTGACTTTTAAGACGAGAGTCAGTCTTGTGAGTCTCTACCTTATGTGCTACTTTGGGTTCCGGGGCTCCGGTCTGAAGCTTCTGGGTAGCTTCCAGAATCTGAAGCTGTGGTTGCTCCTCCAAAGAAAACGACTCGTCAAACGAAGGCCTCCTCCGTCTCTTCCTTCCTTTACCATCCTCTGTGATCAGGGGCATACCTCTCTCTTCTTCATCTCCTCTCCTTCCAGCGTTTGTTTGCTCTCTTTCCTCTCTTCTCCGCTCTTCTCTTTCTGAGTGAAACTGTTCAGATAGCTCCTCTTGGTTGTACTTCTGCCTGTCTTCTGAATTACCTGGACTCTCTGATCCTCTCTCTGGATGCTTTCCCCAATGTGCATCAGTACCGTGGGGATTACAGAGCACCTTCTGAGAATCCTTCCTGCCATACTTCCTCTTGATATTCCCAAAGAGCTGTTCGCTTACTTCTTGCAAGCCCTTACCCCTAGAGATATGCATAAGCAGAGAAATTAAGCAAAATAAATAAGAAAGGATGCATTGTAACTTACTGATGGAGTTCTTATTTTTGTGTTATTAAAAAAAATATAGCCATACCTGCTGAGCGATGTCAGGTTGAGAATACTGGCATCTGTGACCACTGGCAGCTGCAATTCTGGAGTCATGGATCTCTGAGGTGAGGGAGTCTGTGTTGCTGTCCGTTGATAAGGTTGTGTCGGATCAAGCAGAGTACTTCTGCTTGCTCCTAGCAAACCTCCTGCTGCGTTAGATTCCCCCGAATGGACAGAGGATGAAAAAGGTGCCACAGATGTAATCCACTCCGGAACAACTTGGTGTTGTTGTGCATTAACATGCTGGAACTTTTGCGTGAGGCTGTGCTGTGATTGTGGCATGTTTGAGATAGCATTTGTAGGAGGGAGGGTGCTGCGAAGCTGATGTTTAGGCAGAGTGTGATCCCCCAGAAGCTGTAGAAGGCCCCCTTCTTTCTGCTCTGGCATTCTGAACTGACGCTCGTACGTCTGAAACACAGGAGGGAAACAGACGAGTTTACTACAGAAAAACTGTGACTGTGTGGCAGCTTTAAATACTTGCAATGATAGACCAATTATGTGATAATGTAATCAGAAATATATATATATATATATATATATATATATATATATATATATATATATATATATACATATATATATATATATATATATATATATATATATACATACATACATACATACATATATATATATATAGGGATGTGTATTGGTGAAATTCTGGCAATACAATATGCATCACGATACAGGGCAGACGATACAATATATCACAATCTATTGCGATACATTCAGCCAGACAATAGTAGCGATTTTTTTAGACTAAATCTATTGTAGAAAATTTCAATAAACTGTCCAAACTGATACTTAACATGTTTATCGTGATGTATCTGAACCATAATAAAGAGATTTACATTTCAATAGTGGAAACAAAACTCCCACTGCACACTGCTGCCAACTAGAAGTCGGCGTTTGAATTGCACCAAAGGAAATGAAAATACACAAATGTTTGCATGTAAATTCTGCCCAAAAGTCGATACACGGCTTTTGAATATTGATATAATATTGCAGGAAACAATATCACGATATACTGCCATATCGATATTTTCTTACATCCCTATATATATATATATATATATATATATACATACATATACATATACATATATATATATGAGTTAGGAGTAGCCTTTCAGTAAATCAGTAAATTGTTGTGCTTTAGGATGCCCTCTATCTCTTTTCACTGCACAACTTAAGGTTTTAATACATCTTTTGAGCATGGATGAACAATGTGCAACAAAACAAAGGGCTTGTTTGCAGAGCAATTAAATTCCTGTGGCAAGGATGTTGCATGCTGTGCGATCAGTGGAGGGTAGATCTGGGGACGTTTGGAAAAAACACGATATTATTCACAGTAGCCTAACGCAGCCACATCTCTGCCCCAGATCTGTGATTATTTATGTATTGTCTTTATTTTTCATGACTACCAGCCTTGTAAATATCATTTGTTTTGCCTAAAAATGCAAAACAAATTATATGTTTTCCTTTTACTTATAAAAAGATTTATATCTTCCCCCTCATAGCCGTATATGCAAAACTCTCAATAAACTGTACTAAACTAGAAGAGCCCACTTAATGTATCACTGCTGCATAATCAGAGTACTGCTGGAAGATGAGAAATAGAGCAGCGGATGGCCTCTGTGGTTTAGCCTCTTATTAACAGACTCAGTATGCCGCAACAAGACACTGTTCTGCTGCACAGCAGGGAGATGTAACCTAACCACAGGCTTGCCTCTTATGCCTCTCATGGTCATGTACACACAGGCGTACAAGTGCACACGCACACACTTGATGTACACATTTTACAGGCTTCACAAAATTCTAGTGTTATGTACGAGTGAAGCTGCTGCACATTTACAGACTCGTGCACAAACAACCCAACTGTTGCAAAGCTCTCAGGTCTGGTGTAGACATTTACATGCCCGCTGTCTTTCACGTTGCTAATGTGTTGCTCTGCCTACATCACTTTTCTGTCACTTCTGTCTTTTCTGCAGTCAGTATCACTCAGCGAGTTGTTTTCACACTTCCCTGAAACAGTTAATAAGCCAGATGCAAACTCACAAAGCAAAAAATAAATTAAAAAACACACACAAACACACAAACGCCAAGGAGCACAGGACTCGTGTGGATCGAAATGAAAAAAAGAGAAAAGAAACAGAAACAGGCCCAAGCAAACACTGAGCAGTGTAAATGATTAACAAAGCCAGAAAACACACACATGCACTCTTATTTATCTGCCCAATACAAGGCTATGCTGTCCTCTGAGTTAGGTTGAGCTGTGTGCTTGTGTGTGTGTGTGTGTGTGTGTGTGTGTGTGTGTGTGTGTGTGTGTGTGTGTGTGTGTGTGTGTGTGTGTGTGTGTGTGTGTGTGTGTGTGTGTGTGTGTGTGTGTGTGTGTGTGTGTGTGTGTGTGTGCGTGCTTGGGTGTGTGGAGGGAGGTGACACTAGAGAACAGAGTCAGTGAGGCCAAAGAGGAATAAAATGACAGACACCTGATACACACTTGCTTTCTCATTTAACCTATCCTAGAATACCTGCTGTTTCAGGTTAAGGAAGGGCACAGAAGACAGAGACAGACATAAAGCCGAGAAGTGTGTGTGTGTGTGTGGGTGCGTGTGTGTGTGTGTGTGTGATGGTAGTGAGGGGGACTAAGGTAAGACAGACAGACACAAACACATATATACATCCTCCCCAGTGGCCGCAGAGCAACCACGGACAGATAATAAAGAGAGGAGGCAAAACACCTTTTCCCACAGATGGAGAAGAAGAAAAAAAGAAAGAAAAAGAAATTATAAATAATGTTCACACCCCCCACCCCTCCTTCTGCTTCCATTTTCCGGTTGCGGCTGGGTTATATTGGCACCAGTTCAACTTTTTGTTCTTAGTTTCCTCCCTAATACCTCCTCGCCTCCATCACCCCTCCTTTACACCTCCCTGCGTGAAGCAATTCCAGGAAAAATGCAGGCACTCTCTGATATCCACACAGGCAAATGTAAATAGTGGCCATAAAGCCCTTGTTACCGCCTCTTAGATCTGCGTTTTAGCCAACAAAGAGGGTAAACAACTCAGAATCCTCCCTACTCTCCCCAGACAGTGTCAACACAAGCTGCTCGTAAATATCGACAAACTTTAACTTGGTAATCGCTTAATATTTCAATTTTTCATCTACTGTTTGCTCTAAATGGCTCTTAAATCTCTGCGCCTATACAACTCTCACAAACAATTCACAATTGAATTTCCTTCTGAGATTAATAAAGTATTTTTGAATTTGAATTGAATTGAAGCTTGTACTCAAGAAAACAACACAGTTGTGCAGAAAAAAATTGTGTGTGTGTGTGTGTGTGTGTGTGTGTGTGTGTGTGTGTGTGTGTGTGTGTGTGTGTGTGTGTGTGTGTGTGTGTGTGTGTGTGTGTGTGTGTGTGTGTGTGGTTCATACACTTTTGATCACCTTTGTATTTTACTGCAGGGATGCAGAAGGGGGCAGCGTTCAGGAAATTAGAACAGCAGCACACAAGCATGGACTTTGACCTTAATGCAGATCAAAAGCTCAAGACCTGTCAGGATTCAACCTTTCCCACAAAATCCCTCATCTACAGCTGAAAAAGAGATAAGGATAGAGATCACCGACTCGTGTTTAGCCTTCAACTTATCTCATGCACACTCTGTCCCTCGAGGCTCAGCTCTGTCACTAACTCAACAACTAATTTCTCTGGGTCTTACAACGTGGATCCATCTGCAAAAATGCCCAACCAACACCTGAACGCAGGCGGGTCTAGAGCTCCACATCCCTTTTTAGTGGTGATATAACCATCAGATAAGGTCAGAGCGCGGCAGCAAAGAAGGTCATGGATAATATGTGACTAAGTGCTGCAATCACCCGACTGAAAGGCACTTTGCAAATGACTCAGCATAAATTTACTGACAAATATGTGGGTGTGTGTCTGCAACACGCTCAGTGGGGCTTAAATGAAAGTCTAGATGAACTGTGCTCTTTCCTGATTGATGTAAAGGAAGGTGGTGAGTTCTTCTCTGCAAACATACTGTGAGCACCATGGTTGCACTATTATAGTGGGAAAGAACACCCTAAACAGGCACACCCAAATCTCACAAACCTACACACACACACACACACACACACACACACACACACACACACACACACACACACACACACACACACACACACACACACACACACACAAGCAAGCATATACACAAAACTTCAAGCCCAGATGTACACAAACAAGCTGCCCTTCAAATAGTTTTTCGCAGCCTTTTATTTGGCTGCACGCCCAGCGGTTAGAGTGTTTAATTTTTCCCTGTGTACGGCACTGGGCAGCAGTCCAGGCAGACACACAAAGAGAAAGAGAGGGAGAGAGGGGGGTTGAAGGGGGTGTTACTAAAAGAACGAGAGAGGCAGAGAGGGAAGGACGCAGGAAAAACAAGACGAGAGATGCCTGGACTCGTTTACCGCCGGTTTCCCTCTGAAACGTTATTATTGATATGATCCTGTCTTTTTACCTCACTCTCACCTTGTAACACACACACACACACACTCCCTTGGATGTCACCATGTCATCCCCCTCCTCTGCCCCTGTGGCCTTGTGCGAACCCCCACCCCCACCCCCGCCACCCTCTCATCTCCTTGTCCTTTTCTTCTACTATTTTCTTTTCTGGAACTGACCATTCTCTTTCTGTGGGAACTACCACCATCAGACACCCCCACCCCCCCACCCACCACCACCACCCCTCCGATGCCCGCTTCTCTCCAGCCCCATTCAGAGCGCTGCTTCCCTGTGATCTGTGTTTCTGACAGCTCTGTGAACACACACACACACACACACACACACACACACACACACACACACACACACACACACACACACACACACACACACACACACACACACACACACACACACACACACAGCTCCTCTGCAAACAAACACCATGAATACTAACAGGGCTTTGTATCCACAGCACTTAAAACCGGGAAGAGGCGGTGGGGTGAGGACGAGGGGGGAGAAGAAAGAAAAGGAGGGAAAAAGCATTGGAGAAAAAAAAAGAGGAGCTGTAGCAATGTGTTGATCTTGTGGCCACTCTCACAGACCCCCCCACCCCCACCCCATTCACCTCCTCATCCCTGTTTCTCGTTCACTCGTTCTTCCCACCAGTTCTCCCGGGAATAAAGACTTCCATTCATGTGCCTGAGGAGACCCACAGCAGGGGGGGAGAGAAGAGGGAGGAGAAAGGGGTGGAGAGAGGAGGGGCTATCAAGGTGGGACAGTTTGTGGGTAGCTGGGATGAAACCATGTTGGCTAAAACTGTGTGGACACGTCGCTGTACAAGTCTGTTCTTTGCGCAGCTGAACTCCATTATCTCTGATCTGTGCCACACGGAGCTGTTCCTGGGAAAGTTGGGCAGGAAAACTTTTACAAAATGGGCTCTACTCAAAACTACTGCCAAATCAGCCTCCAAATTTAGTATTTGTCATTCAATGTTTTATATTTAATTTTGTAATTTCTGTGCCTTTCACGCTGGATGTGATCATATATTGGATCTGTGGTGCTTCTGTCTCACTGAAGGCGCAGTGGATGGTCTCAAGCACGACCCTAGTAGCAGTCTGAAGTGCTCCCAGAGATAGCAGCAAAACACCAAAGAGTCTCCTTGTCACGCTTTCATCAGACACGCTCAGAAGTTGATGACTCAATTTAAACAAGAGCGCCTGATTGGCTGAACCAAAGCGTGTTATTAGGTTGTAGTTAGAGGTTTTCACCCGCTCAGTAATGGCAGACACATTTACATGCTACACAAAGTATACGTCTAATCCCCACTATTAGCATTAATGGTCTGCTGAGGCATGTGTGCATCCTGCTGGTGAATAATACTAAGAGGAACATTAGAGTTGTTTCATGGTGATTATTACAGTGATTACACACCGATTGTTCCTTTTATGAATGCAACTTAAGTCCGGTGACAGCACTACACGTGTCAATCAGCACCAAAAGCTCAGGAAACATGAAAGTACTACACACACACCGCAGCACGAACACTCACGCAAAAGTCCAATCCATCTCTGCGTCCGACAACTAAATACTTTTTCATCTGTACTTCAACTGAAGTAAACATTACTGACATATGTGAAACACGAAAGTGTAAACGCCAAGGGAAGATGCTGTTTACATACTCTGTGCTCTACAACCCAATCGTACCACGTCTGTACAACAGGAAATAATTAACAGTCAATGAGCTGCTCCAAGGGATGACTTCCTGTGTGGAATGATGGGTAATTCAAGACAGAAGCTGGGCTGAGATTAAACACTTCCTCTCTGTGGTCTGTAACCACAAAGCCCCTCTCACTGATTAGTCAGTCGCAAGTAATGCTCTCTCCCATCCATCCATCCACCCAGTGGTCTACATTCTTTGTGGGCTACATCGCTTCAATGACTTTGGGTGACTTCATGTTTCCTGCAAAGATACTAAATCAGACTGATTTAAATATAATTCTGCAAAGATTTTTTTTTGTCTCTTAGATGTCCACAAACTGCTCAGACTTTGCACCCCAGCCGACTGGAGCACCAACTCACCTTTGATAAGATCTATGGCCTCTCTTGAGAAAAAGTTCACATATTTACGCAAACCAACACCAAAAAGGACATTTATTCCCTAAACCCTCTACAAAGAGAGTTTCAATGTCTAAAGCAAAAATGTTTTGATGGATGGCTAACTTTCTGAGCTACAGCTTTTTTTTTAACAAATATGGAAGTTCAGAATTTAAGTTTTATTTAGCAAACATTGTGACTTTTGAATCTGCACTAACTACAGTAAAATCATAATAGTTCATTTGTCTACATAAGCCTTATTTAGAACTACGAGAGTTAACCTGTTTTTCCATCAAGTGATGCTTAAAATAACATTTAACGAGTCAAACAATGGGTCTCATGTCTATGTCTGATGCTTTTGAAGCAACTGTTTATTTAACTGAGTGTCCATGTTTCAGTGAAAGTCCTCAGATGATCTCAGGCTTAAGAAGAGAGAAAGAGTCGGTGAGCCGCTGTAATGACATCCTCAGTGACAGGGAGAATAGACAAAGTGAGACACAATAGTCTTAACCAATCAGACTGCCTGCCTCCTCTCTGGCCCCTTCTTACCAACAATAATGCCTTTGTGTGAGGCTGCACTCCACTCGTGTGTTCGCTGATGCACACAGACCAAAATGAAACTTCCTACACTTTCTCAGACGTTCAAAGAGAGAGTTTGGCGAGCTGCGTCTGGAATTAAAGAGTGTATTTTGTCTGATAACCTGGCTCGATGTGCATTTCTATGTGTGTGTTTCCTATAGGCCTGGGCACATGACTGCAGCTGCCCCCTCGCTTTCCCTTGTCTCACCCAGCACCCCCTCCTTGTTGTAGGTGAGAGGTCACACGGAGTGGCATTCCTCTCGGTCTGGGAGCGAGCGACTACTACGCCGAGAAGTGGGGGCAGAGAAAGAGAGACTGAGCAGAAGAGGAGGAAGAAGAAAAAAAAACAAGAGGTCAAAGACGCAACTGACAAGAGCAGCGGGAAAACAAAGATGAGGAGCACGGAACATTTTTGGGAGTATGTTTGCTTGTGTGTGTGTGTGTGTGTGTGTGTGTGTGTGTGTGTGTGTGTGTGTGTGTGTGTGTGTGTGTGTGTGTGTGTGTGTGTGTGTGTGTGTGTGTGTGTGTGTGTGTGGTGAAATTAACCGGTGAACAAAAAGCCCATTGCTTCGTGTCCCTGCTTCAAAAACACAGCTGTTTGTTTAGGCTGAGCAGCGCCGAGGGACAGGCACATTGACAGAAGGTCACATGGGCACATTTATTCATCTACACTTAAGAGACAGAGAGCGCAAACAAACAAACTGGGAGACAATTCCTCAATATCTGGAGCAAAAACTTGGAGAGCACACAAATACTGGTTCCAAAATTGAAAATATTTCTGTTTGAAAGCACCTGTCATGTGAGAAGCCATTTTCTAAAGCGTATCATCAGAAAAAAGTGATTATTCTCCCATAATAAAATCATTAAGTGCTAATTACTGAACAGGAAAAAACCACCATAACTCATGATGAAAATTATATTCATGCAAAGAGTTAATCTTTTGAGGGCAGCTAGCTCAGGAGGTAGAGCGGGTTATCCAGTAATCAGAAGGTTGCAGGTTTGACTCCTGGCAGAAGATTCTGCTGTTGTGTCCTTGGACAAGACTCTTAACTCTCCCTGCCTGCTGGTGGTGGTCAGAAGGACAGGTGGCACCTGTACCCAGAAGCCTCGCCTCTGTCAGCGTGCCCCAGGGCGGCTGTGGCTACAGTGTAGCACATCACCATCACTGTGTGAATGTGTGTGTGTGAATGAATGATTCACTGTAGTGTAAAGCACTTTGGAGTCCTCTGACTCTGAAAGACGCTAAACAAGTGTGGGTCATTTATTACTTATCATAATCTAAACTGGACTCCACTTCTCAAATCAGCTCCTCAAACCAAAACAAAAACATGAAGGTGTGGAGCTTTTCGTTTGTGAGATGGAGGAGGTTTTATCATGGTTCTTTTACTGCCCTTACAGACTTTATCAAACAAATGATGCAGACATTACAGAAATATTGTAGTCTAACCAGTTTTAGAAAACCAGGTTTTAGGTGAGGTTTGGCCTATTCAGTGTAACGATTGCCAGCAGCACACATAAAGGAACAAAAATGATAGAAAAGAAAAACTCTTTAAGTAGCTCAACCAAAAGCCCATTGAAGTTATTGGGAGAGACCTCAAACCTGCCCTTACTGAAAGGACTCCAGCAAATTTAAAAGCACTTGAACACATCAGAGGAAAAAAGGCAGAAGCAGCCCAGATGGAGGGTCAGTAAGCTTTAGATGTCTAAGCACTGACATCATTTATAGTTCTGGGAATTTCAAAGAGGTCACATTTTTTAGATGTACTTATAATTTTTGGACACTTTCTGTTGATGGTAGAATCATACACACACCAGCACACACAGTCACCAGCGTGGTCCAGACAGCTGATGGGGCCATCAGATTTCACTGACACACACATTCAGTGAGACGTAGTGAAAGTCAATCCTGTGCACTTGCTTCTCTTTGACCTGTTTCCTGCTCTCCCTGCACCGAACGTTGCCCTCTATTCCAGCCGGACCTCGTCTCAAACCTACAGAATACACACACACACACACACACACACACACACACACACACACACACACATGGGGCGACGGTGGCACAGAAGTTAAGTGTTCGCCCCGTAATCGGAAGGTTGCAGGTTCGAGCCCCGCTCAGTCTGTCGCTGTCGTTGTGTCCTTGGGCAAGACACTTAACCCACGTTGCCTGCTGGTGGTGGTCGGAGGGACCGGTGGCACCAGTGCTCTGCAGCCTCGCCTCTGTCAGTGCGTCCCAGGGCAGCTGAGGCTACATTGTAGCTCATCCCCACCAGTGTGTGAATGTGTGTGTGAATGGGTGAATGACTGATTGTGTTGTAAAGCACCTTGAGGGGTTCCAGGACTCTAGAAGGCGCTATATCAAAGACAGGCCATTTACCATTTACACACACACACACACACACTCACACCAGACCTCACAA